ATATATATATATATATATATACTCTTTCTCCCGAGGTCTATAACTTGATTTTGGAACAGTATTCAGTGTTTGTTATGAATCCCTTCAAAAACATGTCATGAACCACTTTTGGAAATCTTTTGACAAATTGACAGCAGAAAATGCCATTAGCTTTGTTACAGTTATCAAGGCATGTATACACTTTGTCGAGTGTCAACATGGATTATCATTTATCCCCAGCTATGTACTGTTCATACAGTTTTATATCGTAAATATTCCTTTCCTAGATATGTCATAGAAGCAGCTTGTGTACATGTGACGTGTTTCTCTTTCCCAGATGGAGATCCTTCTTGATTATGTTGTGGGACACATGGGCTGTTGCTACGGCACTCACCTTTGTATTTATGAATTCTCACTTGTTACAAGGCATCACACTTTGCTTATCACGGCAGAGGTACGACTTGTTGCAGATATCTTCCTGGATGGTCTATATTCCGAAATTCATTCATATTTTTTTCGTTTTCCAAACTATTAAGTACGGAGGATATCCCCATCTTGGAAATCTTAAATCCTGATCTGACAACATTATGATATTTTGAGTGTATGAATATTTTGTGTCGGAAAAGGCTGATATCAAAAGCAATCCTTTTTAGACTTACATAATACTACCAAAGAACGCCAAACAATGTCAAAATATTGCTCTAATATTTGCAAATTCACTGCGACTTGATACCGGCTGTGGTTTTGATGTGATTTTGTAATTTGCTAATTCATAATTATCTTAATATAACGTACACAACCCTCTGTATGAGACACATAGACTAATCGGTCAAGCCAGAGACTTGGAAGGTTAAGCTATAGTCATTCCTAATATTGAACGACTGATCAAAAAGAAGTCAAACAGTCAGCATGCAGCATCTGCCTCCATTAGGCTTTGTTCGGTTTTGTACCAAATATCGGGATTGAATCTCACTCTGAAAACCACGGATATTTGTCTGTTAATAAAAGTTTGTCCCTAATCGCTCTGTTTTGGTGATTAAAGAGTCATTTTGTGATTAATGAATGACTTGTTTTATCATCCTAAAGAATGTCTTTTATTTGTATTACGTATTCATCTGTAGGTTTGTTTTGTGTTAAAACGTGCCTTTTATTTCATCAATTTTGGTTGATTTATTGTTAAAAGTTTACTTTTGTATTTTATCTTGTTTATTAAATGTGTTTTTTTTGCATTATGAGCTGTATTTTCTTATGTGCATATAAAAAAAATACTGAAGGGTTTCTCTTTCTTGTATTTGATATTTTTTATTTATTAAATAGCCATTGATTTTGTATTGGGTATTATTTTTTGAGATTTGATCTTTATGATATTGTATTTTTGTAAATTTATATTTTATGTTATATCTTAATGGGTTATATTTGTTTTGTAGACCGACTTTCGATAGCTTAAATTGTATTCTTTATGCTACAGTGTTTATTGTCGTATTTTTGTTGTAACTGCTGTTAACATAACTAGGATTTTTTTTTAGTTATGGACAATGTATTATCTTGTGTTGTATTTTACATTGCAAACGTGTTTTGTAGGTTTCATATATTTTTATCATTGTAATGTTTTTTTCTTTGGTTGTTTGCCGTGTGTCGTATTGTGTAAGTGTTACATCAGTCGCAAAAGATATTACCAGAACACAGTGCATTTTTTATTCTTTTTTGGGTCACTTGTGTATTTTATGGTTGGGAAGGACTGAGGATGATTAAAAATACAGAAAGATGGGATGTTGTATTTAGATGTACCATGTTATATATTCTGTCTTAGCTTAGAAAAGCTAACTGTTTAAGTAGCCATAATGTTAAAAAACATTTCTCATTAATTAAAATAATTCGCTTTGAAAAGCTGGGAAGCTTTTGTAATAACAAATATATTTTAAAAAACGTGTGGCGGGAAAACGTACACTTTAGAGGAAAATTAAAAAATATTTAGATAAGCACAGTTGAATGGTTCGTCACATGTTATTGTTCACATTTGAATGATATCATTGAAGATGGTCTTATTTTACTGGAGAGCAGTGTACTTGTACATAAATATTTAGATATGTTTTAGCTTTACTGCATTCTTTCATAATTACAATTCTTAATATCCTCAGTATAGGAAAACATAAATAGCACAATAACTGTCTAATGATTACTTACTCGAGTTGGCCCCTCCAAGTCGATATCAAGAACTACATTTTTCCACTTGCTTTCAACAACTTCTGTGCTCCAAATTCTGGTATTACGTTTCCCCTGCTGAGTGATTACCATTGATTGTGCGCCAGAACCCTCCAGGTAATATTTAAACTTGAGACACGCCCGTACTTGGCCGTAGTTTTGGGCAGTGGGACTGATGAGTCTAGCAGATTGTCTGTCAGCAAGTTCAGCTGTTACTTCGAGATAAAATCCTATGAATAAACATAGTAATGTGTATGATTTCCAACTGCTCCTACACCGCACTTTTCATCATCAACAGATAATATTTGGCTATGTGAAATGTGTGAATCACCGAGAAAAGAAATCGGGTTTTCTATAAAAACTGTCATAATACAGATGAATGAATAGCCATGAAAACACAAAAAAGCATGTACTTTATTACGAGCGTATAGTACCAGCATTTAGTGTTTGTTTTTTTTTTGTAAAAAGTTACTATCAGTGTTTCCACTTTAATTGACACCTTATGTGCTCATGAGGTAAGCGATCAGGTCATAGACCCCTAGGATCCAGGATAGTCGTCCCTAATTTTGAACTACTCACCAGAGGAAAGATAGCCAGTTAGCAGGACTCGCCGTTACAAGAAATTTGTTTAGCTTTGAACCGGATAATAAGACTGTCATTCTTATAAATTATAACACATCAATAGCTGAAAGTGCGGACAGTATTCAGCAACATCGTAAGCACTTTGCAAACAAAACTGAATGAAAAACAGGCACTTCTCACACGAGAAATTAATTGAACTTGTGGACAACTTTTATTCGCTAGGTTCGGAGCATAATCATAATAAAATGGATTACTGGTTTATGGAGATTCCCTTCTGACCCGCCGTACAGAATGTTAACGGTTAGTCCACGTCTAGCCCAACACCGTACAATTAAATTAAGTATTTTCTCGTGCAATATTGATGTTGATTCATTCGATAAAATTATTTTTGTCTCGATACGGCGACGCCCCCCAGTGGCACAGCGGCATGTCTGCGGACTTAGACGCCAGAAACCGGGTTGCGATATCCGTGGTGGGCAGAGCACAGATAGCCCATTGTGTAGCTTTGTGCTTAACTTCAAACAAACAAACGATACGGCGACTACAGATGCTGCCCCCTGTTGTTCATTAACAAAATTAAACGGTTTCGACTGATTGAAATACAAAGTTTCGTTTTAAGCTTCTAATCCGTTGTTATTGTAGTAAGTGGTTAATGTGACTGGATGTTATTAAAATCAGAAAGAAGAAAATGATTACGTTAATAAAATTACATGCAAATATATATATATAAATATATAATAGCTCTGTATCTTTCAAACGATTAATCACAGAAAAAAGTTATACATGAAAAATTATTATTCTTCCAGAGTAAATTACAGGAAAATGGTAATTTTTTCTTTGCAATTCCTAAAATTATATATCGACATCAACATCGATCTGTCAGTCTTCGTATGTGTTGAACGGTTAACCTGAGAAAAACAAAACATTTTAGTCCAGATATCAAACTCAGTTTTGAGTATGAAGTCTGAAGTGTTTTGGAGTCCGCACAAAATGTTTTTTGTATTTTTGGTATCTGAATACCATGTGTATTAATATTCTCTTGTATGCCACTCTGGCAACCTTGAGCATTTTTCAAAAAATTGCCTAAATATGCAAAAAAGCTGACGCCATTACTGAAATTTCCTTTTTTTTCTACACATCTTGGAAAATAAGCATCTATACTATTTTTCTGCTTATTTGTATGTTCGACCGTTACGCTTTCTGACCGAGAACCTGCTGCATAAGCATGCGTAGTTAGAAATGTTTCCCCAAGAAAAACCACGCATGCACATTATTCACTCAACG